TTTTTATTCATCATTTATCTGGTTTTCTATTCATCATGATGTATTGACAGCATCAGCAATTATTATAAAAGTTTATTTAGATTTCTTAACCCTTGTCACTCTTTGTTTTATACAGTCGATGCTATTACTAAATAAAACATAAGTTTTATATCATTTTGATATATTACTAACATGTGTATTCTTACATACTCTTATGATTTAAAATATATATTAAACAAATATTAGCATAGCCAACCTTACTCTTCCTTTTGTTACTGTTTTCATAAAATATCTCCTGCCATTTTAGCTGTTCCAACCTGTTTGGGTCTTGTATCTAAAGTGTGACTTTGTATGTCGTTCCTAATTGGATGATGTTTTTATTTTCTCTAATTCCATTTAGCAATCTAGCTTATAATTGGAGAACTTAATAGATACGCATTTAAAGTAATTGCCAATAAGAATTGGCTTCCTGTCATCACTTTTCCTATATACATACAGTTTATGTCTCTTGCGTCTTACATTAAAAACTCATTAGTGTCTAGGTGCTTTTGCTAGTGAAATGCTTTAATTTTATTCCCAATTCCTTTTGCATATATTCTATTACTATTTTCTTGGCTATTACCAAGGTGCTTACATGTGGTACTGAATTATAGGATTAATTCTAATTTCTACCAGCTTAATTTCAGTAACAGGGGCCTTTCAAACATTTCATGCAAATGTGCATAATAAAAACTATATGAGGGTTTCTAAAACTTTTGTGTCAGAATAAACCTATCTTGTAATTACATCTTCTATGAATTTTCTGAAATAGTATCAGGTTAAATTCTACACTTCTAAAAAATTAAAATGCAGCATTACAAATCAAACTTAAAAAAAAAACTACCTTTTAGACTAATGACTTTTCTTGTATTACCATCTTAAAGCATGTAAAAAAGAAAAAAGGGTATAGTTTCAAATCATTTTTCTATAAATGGTTACTGTTATAAATAATGAGGTATTTCACTTTAAGTTACCGGCTAATGTCTTTTCATTTCCTGTAACAGAACTCCCTCTAGCAACTCTTGCAGTTTATAACTAGTGTTAACTTCCTCAGTTTTTATTTGTAGGTGTATTTCTTATTTTCAAGGAACAGTTATGCTATATATAGGATTTGAGGTTCACTTTTTATTTTCTACTAGAAATTTGAATGTGTCAACCCATTGCTTTGAGCTCATAAGTATTTGTTTTAAAAGTATTATTTATTGGAAATTTTTTTTGAAAGCTAGAGAGAAAGAACTTTTTTTTTAATCTGTGTGATTCACTTTCACTCCTCAAATACATCTTGAAGTTAAGACTGGGTTGGGCTGAAGCTGGGATCCAGGAATGCAATCTGGCTCTCTTTTAGGGCTACAGTGGTCTGAGAGCTGGAGCCACTACCTGCTGCCTCCAAGCGTAGGTAGTTCCAGGAAACTGGAAGTCATGGCTTCCATCCACCCTCACATGGCTGTTCTCTCTAGACTCACGTAAAGCATCCTTAAATTAAAGAAGCCATTTGGCCTATAATCCATGGTTTCATAACTGCTTCATCCATTTTTTGAATTTAAATCACTGGCTTGCATGTAATTATTTATTCAGCCATTCAACCATTTTTTTTTTAGAAATGACAATTACTACAGAGTGCCATATAGCATTCCTTTGTGAAACACAACGTTTAAGGAACTTCCTATCTACTACCTGCTAAGTTTTTGTGTGCAATTTTTCAATGTTTTACAGCAAACCTTATTTTTCCCTGTGTTTGTTTGAAGTCCTACATTAAATGTATTGAATATTAAAGAACAGCAAATTATATGAAATATTCAGTACTACTTCCTATTAGACTAATGAATTTTTTTTTTTAAAGATTTATTTTTATTATTTTTTCATTGGAAAGGCGGATATACAGAGAGGAGAGACAGAGAGGAAGATCTTCCGTCCGATGATTCACTCCCCAAGTGAGCGCAACGGGCCGATACTATGCCGATCCGAAGCCAGGAGCCTCTTCCGGGTCTCCCGCGCGGGTGCAGGGTCCCAAAGCTTTGGGCCGTCCTCGACTGCTTTCCCAGGCCACAGGCAGGGAGCTGGAAGGGAAGCGGGGCTTCCGGGATTAGAACCGGCGACCATATGGGATCCTGGGCGTGCTAGGCGAGGACTTAGCCACTTGCGCCACCGCGCCGGGCCCAGACTAATGAATTTAAGAGACATCCAAGACAATAGTTTGCATTTTCCAAAAAAAATTATTACAGTGATATAAGGATGGCATCTATCAGATATAGAGGTAGAAATTGAGGATGAAGGGAAAAAAAAAACTTCCTTTAGTTCATACGGCCATTATTAAAGAGCAATTTAATTTTTACGCGTGCAGGGAATTCCAGTCTTTCAAAGATACTGCAAGCTTAAAGTCAGTGTTTATCTCTCGTAATTACTAGATAGAAACAGGATGAAGACATTGACCGAGGAGCTTAAAAACACTAAGAAAAATTATCCTCTTAAAACTCATTTCAATGGAAAGTTAAAAGCACTAGATAAAATCCTATCTACTGCTTCTTATCAAACTGATTGGCTGCTGATCAGGATCGATTCAGAGAAAATTCTATTACATCACCTTTTATAACTTTGTTATCAGAAAAGATGAAGAAAACAGTGACATTACAAATTAAAGAATAAAATAAATTTGAAACTTTCTGCATTGAGAAGATGATTATAAAACTTACAAATATTTACCAAAATGATCAGGAAAAAAAATGAATATTCACAAATTATATTAATAATGAAGAAGAAACATAGCATAAATTCCGTGAAAAGGATAATGTATGTTAATGTAAATTTCTGCTGTAAATTGGAAAACTGAATATTTTTAGAATTGAATAAATGAGCAAAATTAACTAAAAAAAAAAAGTGAATCTTAATCCTGGAATCCTAGCATTATCCTTTTCTCACCAAAATACTACTTTTACCATGTTTAGATATATTCTTAGGTTAACCAGTGCCATATGTATATAAAAAGTGAAAGTACAAAAGTTGAAATGAGGAAGGTTAAATGAAGTTTCTCTATGGCTATATGAATAGATAGAAACATAAAAAAATAATTTGAGAACATTTTTACTCACCAGTGACAAACCAGGTTTTGAATACTCTGAGTATTCTAAAGAGCATAATTATAAGGTGTAGATCTTTAGATACAAATTTATAAAATTTGTTGAGACACAATAGGACTCTCAAATTACAAAAGACTTTTAAAATGATTACCAGCAAAGGTTCAGCATCATTGAAAACAGGTTGCCCAAAAAGATTCATTTTTTAAATCATGCCACTCAAATTCCCAAAGTCAATACCTAAAGTTTGGACAACTATATGAAAGAGAAACAAAACAAGAACAGCCAAAACTAACGTGAAAGTGGAGAGCACCGGAAGCTGCATGATCTGTTAGTAAGCATTTTAATTAATGCTCTGTTGCCTTAGTACATGCAAAGGCAAATCAGCCGAAAAATATCCAGAAAAGCCCTCATACACATGTGAAAGGAGACACTGCAGATGAGCAGCTTTAGGATGAAGTTCCCAATAAAAGGTGATGGGATGATAGTTGGTCATATGAAACATCACTGAAAACACATAGCATTGTAACCTTATATCCAAAAAGTTATTTGAAATGGTTCAAGACTTTAGTCATAGGTGGCCCACTTGAAACATTCAAAAAGACTATGATTTCACTTTAAAAAGTATGATTTATCTATACAGATTTTTAAATAATAAAAAATTCAAAGCATACATTTCAGAAATATATCACAAAATAGTTAAATCCTTTTTGTAGAAAAGGAAAACCTTAAGTATTATATACTTGTTGGAAGACAGGCTGAGCAATCAAGAACCAGAGCAAATAGGAATTCTTTCTCATACATTCAAAAAGGAAATGAGTGAACTATACTTAAAGGTATCTCCCAAGTGAGGCAACACAAACAAAGCAACAGCTATGAAAAATTACCCTAGCTCAGAGCAGCATCAAATGTTAATAATGACAAAAGAAGTACTTATTTAATACCAATCACCATAGAGCACACGTTTAAATGCTGAGAAGTAATCAAGCATTTTACTAGACCAGCTAAGGCCACATGCCACAGCAGACTGCTTGTTTTTGATGCTCTGTTTTTTACTCCAACTTCCAGCCAATATAAAGTCCTCAGACAGCAGGACACTTTAAGAACTGAGTTTCTGCTACACACACCAGGCTCACATCATTTTCTAATTCCCAACTCTTGCCATGGCCCAGCCGCAGATGTCTGAATACCTGTTTATACCTGTGTCTTTCTCAAATATTTGAGATATATTTGAGATAAATATATATATATTTGAGATATATATATTTATGCTGGAAAATTTGGAAGTTGATCAAGGCATGGAACTCTGTCGTTAGCAGGTGTAGAAACAACGAACAATTCACAACTCATCTGATTCAGACTTATTATTTTTGAATATACATCTGCTATAGGACTAAGCAATACCAGTACAAGCAGCGTCTCTCTAAAATAATGTTTATGATGGATACAAGTATACAAAATGTTCATTTCTCTTAGATATCAATTATTTTCTTTTTGACTTTCGTGGTAATTTCAGAATATAAGTGACAAAAACTTTCTCCTAAGAGAGTATTGCAAATTTTGATTTAACCTTTTTTTATTCCAAACAGTGCATTTAGCTCTTTTGAGGTTCTGTTTGAAAATTGAAAACGGCAGGTAATGGACATTGTACTGGACTTGGCTGTAGTGTCCCTTTGATTTTTCTGATCTCACTGACAGCATTTCAATCACACATACTATGAAAGGACTTGTCTTTCTTTTAATTAGTTGCTATTATAATACTAGCATCGTTTGCCATATGAACAGTCAGAACACCAGGTAAAAGACGTGAAGGAACCTAGCGGAACACCAGCTTTCACAAGGCAACGAGCTCCGTGAGCATCTTCCAGAGAAGCGCAAGCAACAGTATGTGGCGCGAGCACCTGTGCTTACCAGCTGCTGCCCCTGCGCACCCCAGGCCGCGTACTGCAAGACGGAATCCTCCACTTCTGGGGGGTTTAACTCCCAAACTTCCCTTGAAAAAACCCAAACAGTTTTTACATGAGAAGATTTATATATTCACCAATGATGTCTCACAAAACCCAGGAAATCAAACAACTTACCTAGTGTGTATGTTGTAAATCACGTATGAAGCAGTGTACGAATAATGAAATATCTGAAAAAGGTTTTTAAAAAAGAGTGGTCAAATATCAATGGAAATAAAACTTCTAATGTAATACACACATATATTTGATAAAATAAGAGCTTTATATTAACCCAGGTGTACAGGCATGTCTATAGACCTATATATACAGGAGATTAAGCAATTGCTGTTAGGGAAAAAGCAACATGTGAAATATTCAAATTTTGGGATTTATCCATTCTTCTTCATAACATTGATTTCATCCTTTATTCAATCTGTCTTATCTCTGATATAATTATGCTCACACTACTTTCTTGATTAAAATTGCCTAGGAAAATAAACCCCAAAACACTCCATGTTCCGTAATGTGCTTTGGTGTCTTACTTTCTACATGATTTTCACGCCCCTGTCATCCACTCCCTCATTTTCTTTGGTCTATACTTTAATCAAATTGGATGAATTCTTCCTTTATATGTCCTAACCAATCTACCTTTCTGGCACATCCAAGCTTAACTCTGAAGGGAGAAAGAGGGATTCTCCCCTGCTTATGCCACTGTCCTTGCACTGAGCTCGGACCAATCTGCTCCATGGAACTCTGTCCTCTGCGCAGCACAGTTGATTGGTGATGTGCATGATATTTCTCACCCTGTAAAGTTTGTAAATATTGTCAGTCTGACCCCTTTTCTGAGTAGAATGTTCTCAGGCACAGTTATGCTTTACCTTTTCATTCTGCATATTCTATGGCAGTGTCATGTGACATGCAACATGTAGTTCATGTTTACTGAGCAATGAATATAAGGAAAATTGCACAAGTTTAAGTGTATTTTGGTGAAAACAAAATGGGATTATAAATGATCATAGCAACTGTGCTAGGTCAAATTGTCCGACTTCTGGTCATGGGTTTGGTCCCCATAGCATGAGCTCCTTGCCATTAAAGATCCAGGAAGGCAGTAAGAAATGGCTCAGGTGATTGGGTCCTTGCCATTTACATGGGAAATCTGGATTTCCTCATCTCAACACTGGCCTGGTGGTCAGGGAAGCAATTATGTATATCTAGGGATTATATTAGCAGTGAGAGTTCTTTTTCTTTTTCTCGTTATCTAGGATACACTATATATCTATGTAGGAGGACGTTGTGAGCCTGGAAGGTCAGCGAGCACAGGTTTGCAGTTCATTGGACAGTATTTGCATGACAACAACCTAATGGCTACCTTTGGTATAAACAGCATGTAAATGAGAACACCTGGTGGAAAATACAAAACAAAAGGAACTCCAATCAAGAGAGGGAAACAGTACAGACTCTCAGTGTATAAAGTCTGAGGCCCCTAATAAACTTCAGCTTTGACCATCAGTCAGGGTCCACGTGTGTTATTATCGGCTCCGTGCACCAAGGTTTGTCGCTGCGGGACAGCGACATATCTATATATAATTAAATTAAATTAAGTGAACTTCAAGAGCTTTTTATATTCCATCCTTAAGAATATTGTTTTGGGCACGGCAAGAGCCCAACTGGCTAATCCTCCACCTCCAAGCCGCAGGATCCCATATGGGCACTGATTCAATCCTGGTTGTTCCACTTCCCGTCCAGGTAGGTAAGCAGTGCAGGATCACCCAAAGCCTTGGGAACCTGCACCCATGTGGGAGACCAGGAGGAGGCTCCTGGCTTCAGATCAGCTCAGCTCTGGCGATTGCAGCCACTTTGGGAGTGAATCAGTGGATGGAAGATCTTTCAGTTTCTCCTTCTCTCTCTAAATCTATCTTTCCAATGAATATAAAATAAATCTTCAATAATTTCATTTCATTTTAAATTTTAAAAATATTTTAAATGTTTGGAGCAAAGAGAAAACAAAGCAAGAATGATCATCCTTAGAATCAAGTCCTAAGTTCCCACAATAACACTCTTTCTTTTTAAAGGTAAATATTTCAAGGATTACAACACCTGTGATTAGGCAAAAATAAATCTCCAACATAGAATTATCAAGATTCATTAAAAAAGTTTATATTTTGGCTTTTACTTATAATAAATTTGGGAACAATGAAAAGGCAGGAGAAAAAAGTTCTCGTAGACAATGAGGAAAGAGATAATGAGTTTGTGATGGAAGTGCAACATTTTTCTCTAAGCTAAAACTAACTAACTGTATACCTGGGTGCACTAAGAAAAAAAGTATTTCCTGGACTTATGCAGATTCCAATAATATTTTAATTTTTCAGTATGCAGTCATAAGCTTTTCCTTTATTTGTAGAGTGGAAGTGCATTGCACAGCTACAATGCTATCAAAGCTCTGAAGTCAAACTGTAATGTCTTCTGACTGCAGTAATACCTTCAGTCAAGCACCAAGGGCCTCGTATCATACAGATAATTTTAATGCATTGAGGATCAAACATCATTCCCATTTATAACAGCACTGGTTTTTTTTTTTTTTTTTCATCTGTCTTTATTGGGGAGGCAGATTTACAGAGAGAAGGAGAGACAGATCCTCAACCACTGTTTCACTTCCCAAGGGTTCACAACGGCCAGAGCTTAGTTGATCTAAAGCCAGGAGCCAGGGAGCCAGGAACTTGCTCTGGGTCTCCTATATGGGTGCCTATGGCCTTTGGACCATCTTACATCACTTTCCCAGGCCACAAAGAAGCAGCTGGATGGGAAGTGGAACAACTGGGATATGAACTGGTAATCATACGGTATCCTGGCACTTGGGAAGTGAGGTTGCAGACATTGAGCTGTTGTGCTGGGTCCAGCATTGTGCTTTATAATGAAGTTTAATTCTTCTGTCTGCTTTGGAATATTATAAACCAGATATTTCTTTTATAGTCATGGGTCAAATATAATTTTCCCATTGTCTGTTTTACTATTCACATATTATTCTATAAAATTCTGTATTTGACTCAAATCCTAAAATTTTAACCTTCCACTCTAGGGGAAGAAAAGATGAGAAATATGATTGCCACTGTCAGCATGTATTTCTGTCTCAGAATGTTTTGTTACCAAAGCAAAGATCCAAATAGGCTCTTGGTTTTCAAAACAGATACATTTGTCAATTAAATTTTTGAATAAGAAGAGACTATTCATAGCATCCATTAGTTAGCTAACAAACGGTCTTCACTTCGGGTCTTTCATGCAGGCCACACATTGTTGTTTTAGGAAAAGCAGATTTCCAAAACAACCTCTGAGGCATAACTGTGTGCAGCTTTTGGAGGCTGGTTTTCTTCTAATTTGCTACAGAGGTTGCTGATTCTTCTCTATGGACTAAGATGCCCTCCAGGTAATGTGAATATAAAAGGTGATCTATAAATATGCTTTCTGGTTTTCATTGCTAAAGCTGTGTTATAGGTCAGGTGGAAGGCCAAAACAAAGAAATCAACCCTGACTTGCCTGCAAATTCATAGCAAGTTGAAATCTTAAGTTATAATTTTGAGCTAATCCATATGCATACAGAGTCAGCTATTAAAGATAATTAGAACCTGGCCTTTCGCTCACAGCTTAGTTTTATTCTAAAATCACTATCTTCTAATTTATGTATCTGTGTGTATGCATTTTATGTATTCCCAGATCACAATTGCTGCTTCTCATAATTTAAATATGTTTTCTCACATCAGAATACAAAGGGCATTGAGTTGAAGGAGGAGGTATGTTGAACAATATTATACGATTTCTTTTACTTCTTTCTCATTTTTTATTAATTAGAATTTTGGAAATATTTTTAGGAAGGGTTGTTCTCAGTCTTTCTGCCCCACTCTGTCCTCAATCTCCTCTTTCTTGGATGCTGTTTCTATCTTTTCAACATACTTCATTTTTTAAAATTTTAGGTTCCCTTTAAGTGTTAGCTAAATAGATTTGCTTTCATAATGAATGATAAAATCAAGTCATCTATAGCACGAAAAGCATTTCTCTTTCCAGTAAACACTGGTGGCCACATCATAATAGTCAACTAAGGATAATAGGAGGCTTTTGCGGCCAAACATATTTTATCACTTTACTGTTTTTAGTGTGTGTTCAACCCACCTCTGCAAAGGATGCTCTCTTGCTGATTACAGAGTGTGACTATTAACAGCAAACACTGTTTTGGCAAAACTGAACAAAGTATATTACTGGAAGCTGGCTTTGAGATAACTGAGCTTGTTATTGGCAGATTCAGAAAGCATCATTTGCATAAAGTTCAATCTAACAGCTAACATCTTTACATTACACTGGAACTTCAAGAAAATAAACGATTGCTAGAGTTAAAGACAAGTAATGGAAAACCTAATTCTCATTATCTGTAGCTTTTACTATTTAAAATGTCATAACAAGCACTAACGTAGATAATTGGGAAACGCACATTCTAGCAGAAATATGGAGTTTAGTTCTTATGAAACTGGATCATATTTGTTTCTCATCAATTTTTATTCTCATTCCACATATGCTCTTGTTTATCTAATATACATAGCTGAATCATTGGCATAAATCCCATGACAAATAACATTGTAGCTCATGTTTGAATGAAGCTTATCAGCACAAGTTCATGATAACTGTCTTGACTATAGAACCCAAGACTGATAAGTCAGCATGCTTGGGAGTAGAATTCAGAGGTGGGACATGATCTGAACAGCAAAAATAAACGAACATGTAAGTGCACAAAATGCAGAACACAGGACACAAAAGCGCTGCTGTGAAGGACATCTGTTTACAGAATAACTGTTGTAACTATCCACAGTATCAACTCGTTCAATTTTGGCTAAGACAGTGTAAGGCAGCTCACATGTGTAGGAATCATTGCAAACCCCCAGGACCTAAACGTCATCAAGGAGGCAAGTGTTCACATGTGAAATCCCAAGTAATCTCTGATGATCCTAGTACACAAATATTACTGGAAGAAAAAGATAATAGACATGCTAAATGTCTCCTAAAAAAACAAATCCTTGGAAAATTGAAACATTTTCAGCTAGACAAAAGAAGAAAGAGGAAGAAAAAAGAAAGAGGGACAGGGAGGAAGACAAGGAGCAGGGGGAAGTGGGGAGGAGAAGTTGTTGAAAGCAGACTCTGAAAACAGTGC